AATCAAAGGCTTTAGCGTAGTCAATGAAGCAGAAGTAGATGTTTTTCTGGTACTCTCTTGCTTTCTCCACAATCCAGCGAATGTTGGCAATTTGATCTCTAGTTCCTCTACCTCTTCGAAACCCAGCTTGTACTTCTGGCAGTTCTCTATCCATGTACTGTTGAAGCCTAGCTTGTAGAATCTTTAGCATGACCTTGCTAGTGTGTGAAATGAGTGCAATTGTGCGATAGTTTGAACATTCCTTGGCATTGCCCTTCTTTGCGATTGGAATGTAAATGGACCTTTTCCAATCCTGTGGCCACTGTTGCATTTTCCAAATTTGCTGGCAAATTGAGTGCAGCACTTTAACATCTTTTAAAACTTTGAATAGCTCAACTGTGATACCATCACCTCCACTAGAGCTTTGTTGTTAGTAATGCTTTCTAAGGCCCATTTGACTTCGCATTCCAGGATGTCTGTATTGAGGTCAGGGGTTACACCATCATGGCTGTCAAGGACATTGAGGTCCTTCTTGTATAGTTCTTTTGTGTATTCTTGCCATCTTTTCCTAATCTCTTCTGCTTCTGTTAGGTCCCTACTGTTTTTGTCCTTTATCATGGCCAGCTTTGCATCGGACGTTCCCTTGATTTCTCCAATTTTCTTGCCACCCGAGATTGAACAATAACAGGTCTGTGATACCCTAGTCACAAGTAAATATTTATATTTATTTATTATCAGATTTATACCCCGCCCTCCCAGGGTGGCTTACAGAAAGAATAAAACATACAAATAGACAATTTAAATAGCCATAAAACCATATAAAACATTTTAACATTAAAAGATGCTAACATTGATGATACTAATAATTAGAGAAATTTTAAAAAGATGGCGGCTGACCTTCAGTATAGTGTCCTAGCGGTCAGCTCATAGGTTTAACCTTGTGCAGCTGGCACAGGCTGTTCTGATGACTTCAGGGAACAGGGTTCTTTATTGGGGCGGCTCCTAATTGAAAGCCTGGCGGAAGAGCTCCGTCTTGCAGGCTCTGCGGAACTGCATAAGGTCCCGCAGGGCCCTGATCTCTTCTGGGAGCTCATACTGTTCTAAATGCATCTAAAATGGATCACGACAACCAAAGGTAACTATAGACGTGGGGTTGGATCTCAAGTACCATCACTGGAACTATTCAAACTAAACTTAGCTTTCCTTCTTCTCCTTGCAGCCTACCAAGCACCTCGAAATACTGCTCCTGGGGGAATCCTGAGAAACAACATGAGTGGCTAAACTGGAGATGCTGTGGGAGGAGGAGGGAAGCTGTGAAAGGTTTCCTTCCTTTGTTCCATTGGCTGAAGGGTCCTCTGCCAGTGGAAAATGACCTCTGCTCACAATCCAAGTTCCATGCATCCAGCCCCACACTTGGAGTGAGGCATACAGAGGACAGGAGATCACAGGAGTAGGTAGAAGCAAGGATGAAGCAAGAATACGTGAAAGGAAAGGGATTGGCCAATGCAGGAAATGACTTCTTAGTCTCTTACCTGTCAAGCGTGCCCATCAGTAGCAGAAGGGGTGACCCACAATAGGTGGGGTGGAGGCAGGGAGAAGAGCCTTTTTTCACTGAAAATCCTTTTCCTTTCTAGCTTTCTCCCTCCTCCAGCCAACCACTCCTCCAATTTTTAATATCTCGTCATTTTTAAATGAAAAACACAAAGTTACACAATTTCACAAACACCCTATACATTTTTTCCCATTTGAATTTGCGTATTTGCTTCATAAAGCTGCTTGAAGTTTCTGGCTTAAGGAGTCAGAGAAATCACCACCAATCTTCTTAAAACTTAGTTTTCACTGACGTTTTGCTGCATTAAGGCAATTTCATTCATTTATCTAAATGCTGCAAAGAACACATACACCATATAGGTAGAAGGAACGGAGAATGCACACTGCACAGCCTTGTAAAAAATGTGGCACAGAACCAGCTCTACATTTTTCAAAACAATAGCATCTTCCACATGAATTCTCAGTTGTGGCTATCAAGAACATCATTTTTTAAACAGAAAAACTCTAAATTTAGAAACTCATGCAGAATATCTGTTCTACTCGTATCACTGCCAAGAGGCAGTTCAGCCTTGACTCCCACAACAATAGAAGCAAATTCTCAAGAGGAGGCATTCTTATGGTGTAGATCCCCTTTGAAGAGGATGGGTGCTGGAATGCTCCCTTTGGAGGAAGGGGAACATTGTGATGCAATGATGGCCTCTTGTCTAGACATTCATAAAAATGTAGTTGGTTGGCTTAAAGGAAAGGAGAAATTCAGAGAGGATAGACCTATCAACAGCTATTAGCCACGATAGTCAAACTGAACTTCCATATTCAAAGACTGCTGAATAGCAGAAGGTGCAGACAAAAAATGGGAAGACTGCTGCCCCCTTCATGCCCTGCTTGTAAGCTTTCCAGAAACAACTGTTTGGCCATGGTGTCCAAATCCAAGTCACATCGCTTGGGAAGTTAAGAGATTCTTCTTTCCGCTTCACTGTCATCTCCTCAGCTGGTGCATGACAGAATTACACTATCGCAAACACAGAAACCCTGGCAAGGTTTATGTAATTCTGCTGTGTCTGGGAGCCTTAGGAAGGGGAGAGGTGATCAGGACACCGTGGGCCCCTTCCATTCTGGTATTACCTAAATGCTGTAGATTAAAGTAGATTAAAGACATAATAAGAGGACGCCTAGTCCTACAGAAGGAGCCATGACGCTGAATAACATGTTAGAAACATAAAATAATGGATTGGATTGAGGAAAGTGTTAGCTGGCAAACACTTACCATCTAAAGCTTCTTTTAGTTCACCTTTGGTCCAGGCAACTTCTGTCATCAATAGTCGGAGGTAATACATGGCGTGCTGGTGTGGCTGTTCAGCTCGAAAGTTGTTAAGTGATCGCATGTACTTATAGAGATTAAAACAAATCAATGGTATAACAGTTGATTAAACAGCAAAAGTTTCACTTATCTTCAACTTTGGTATTCAAATAATAACAATAATACTAATTTTTAAAAGATCTTCAAGATTGGAACCACATTTTTGGTACCTTGGCCAAGGTTGACAGTGTCTCTCAACACTGAATTATTTGGTTAAAATACATTCAAAGTCTCCAGGTTATAAGTATACAAATTTTTGTTGTTGTTCAGTCGCACAGTCGAGTCCGACTCTTTGCGACCCCATGGACCAGATCACGCCAGGCCCTCCTGTCTTCTGCCGTCCTCTGAAGTTGGCTCAATTTCATGTTTGTTGCATCTATGACACCGTCTAACCATCTCATCCTTTGCCGTCCCCGTCTTCTTTGACTTTCAAGTATACAAATAGCAGTGCTTAAATCTAAAATGTGATTGAGTAATTAAATTTCTATGCTGCCTATGCCATTCACTCTGAGGAAGCTTACAACAAATGCAATGCTAAAATCATCATGAATAATATAAATCAGGGTTACCCAACATGGTGCCATGGTGCCTGCCAAGACTCTGAGAAGCTGGTCAGGAGGACCATTGTAAGGCAGGAGGACCATTGTAAGGCATTGTAAGGCTGGTTTTCCACGGCTGCTACTGCAGCCACAGACACTGGAGGATGACTGATAAGCACCTTGGCTTTCCTTAGTCAGCAGTTGTTCCATTCCCCCTCCAGATTTTCGTTCCTTTTATTCCCCTTTCTCTTTCTCCCCCACCCCAGGCTTTCCTTTGTTTCTTTTTATTCTCCATTCTCCTACTCCCTCCCCACTTGTGCTTTCATTAATTTCTTTTTTATTCCCCTTCTGCAATTCTTTTGCAAAGTGAAGAGGGAGGTATTGTGTTTGGCTCCGCCTCCTGCGGCAGCCATTTTGGGGTTGCACTCACTACCTCCTCTCAAAATTCCAAAGGTGCCCACAGGTTTAAAAAGCCTAGGGACTGCTGGTATAAACAAAATTTAAGACAAAACACAACATATCACAATAAATTTATCAACAGTTTCTGCCAATAGGCTTGTGTTCACAGAACAACGTTAGGCTGCACAGAGATTGTTTTCCTTGGGCCAGTGGACCAACAATGCTCCTAATTTTCTAATAATGGTTAATTAATCAGGAGAAGATGCCTGGAGTGCAATCTCCCTCTGCCCTGACAGAAGAATTTCCACATGCCTAGCCAATGAATGTTACATTGTCACCAATACCCACCATCTTACTTCTAAAACAGGATCCGAAATTTGTGTTTGAAGTAGGGGTGTGCATTCGGTTTACCCAAACAACCCCCCCCCCCAATACCTTACTGATATTTTTCAGGGCTTGTTAAACTGAATCAGATTACAGAATCTGATTTGGCTACCAATATAGCTGAGCCCCCAAATATTGGCTTTTATTTGGATGTGGCTTGGAGAAGACATTTAAAGAGACTGTGGTCTCTTTAAATGCCTTCTGAGTTCACTTGCCAAATTGTGCTGCTGCCGCACGGCTTAGTAAGTGAAGTCAAAGGCAAGGCAGGCGCTTAAAGGGACTGTCCCTTTAAATGCCTTCCTTTTCCAAGCTACACGTCTCCAAATCCAGTGAATTCCAAAGGTATGCCTTCAGAGTACAGTTGCTGTGGAGACATGCCGCTTGGAGAAGGCATGCCTTTGGAGTTCACTGGCCAAAAAGATGCGTGGCTTGGAAAAGTCAGGCACTTAAAGGGACAATTCCTTTAAGTACCTTTTTTTTTGCTCCATTGGGAACAATGGAGGATGGGGGTACCTTATTCTGGGGCCCACAGAATTGGACCTCCTGGTCCAATCTTTTGGAAAATTGGGGGTGGGGGGTTTGAGGAGATGCACAAGCAGCTATGCTGCAAATCTGGTGCCTTTCCCCAAAAAAAACCACCCCCCCCCCCCAAGTCCCAGATACTCCCAGATGAATTCACCATTACAGCCTATGGGGACCATTGACTATAATGGTCCCCATAGGGTATAATGAGCCAAAAAAACTTGTCAATCCCTATTATTTCTTGAATATCCCAATACCATACTGATATTGGGGTTCGGGAAACACTAATATTTTTCAGGTTCAGTATACCTGAACATGACAAATATTGATTTTCTTTCTTGCACACCCTTAAATTTGAAGCTGGTGAGAAAATTCCAGAAAAAAGGAACCTGGGTTAGCATTAACCATGGTTAAAACTGGTGCTGATTCAACAACTGTGCTTCTAAAGAAATGTGTTACTGAGGAAGGAAGAGCAAGATCCTGCAAGCCTGCTACCAATCTCTGGTTAGGGATTAGGGAGCACTACACTAAGTTTACTGTTCTAGAGACACATCAGATTGAGGTCCCCCCCCCATTTGATGTTAATTTTTAAAACAAGCAAAAAAACCCCTTCAACTGCTTTTTCAATATTGTTATGTCTAAACATATATTTCTCACACGGACAATTTTAGTGTAAACCAGTGGTAAAAAAACTGCAACATTTATCTGTGAAGCTATTTGTATGTCAAGGGAAGAGATAGCAGCTGCATTTGGCAAGACAAACTGCATACAGAGTGTGTGTGTGTGTACTGTTTTATGCATGGGAATAAGAGACTAAATAAAACTACTTTAGACATGTCAGCATGAAAGATGAGTGGTTTTGCTTTCTATAACACAATCAGGAATGTGATTGCCACGGATGAAAATACATTTGTGTAACATATGGTCCCAAAAAATACTTTATGAGCAGGGCTGGGGGGGGGGCACAAGGGCACTGGTGGGAGAGTTTACACTTGAACTTTCAGTTTCAGAACTACCACACTCCTAATTCTCATGCTGAACAATTGCTGCTCTATAAGAGAAGGCACTTCTGCAGGAACCCGCTAGCTATCAGCTTGGCCTTCCACCTCCCATCTATTACTTCAGCCCATTCCAGCTCAACTACATCCCTGCTTTTGGGATGCAGCAAAGGAGCTGCTGTGCTGAGCTTCGGCCACGCTGCTATTGCCTACCCAGGTGTTACCATTTTGTATCCAACTTAAAGAAATAAACAGCCACAATCCACTTCAATACGAAGTTGGACCTAGTCATCATACCGACAGTCCTGAATACACTTTAAGCACCCTTTTCATTATATGCTTGAAATGTTGTGTTCCTAACTTCCCAAGGAATGGGATGTTGCACGTTACAGTGTCTTTCCCATCTTGAAACGGTGAGATGACTACAGTTCTGATTTGCAAAGATCAGGGTCACATCCATCCCAGATGCCTTACCTCTTCCTTGATAATTTCAAATCTTTTCTCATCAATCTCAAAAGTGGCCATTTTCTCAATAATCTTCTTTAGCAAGATATGCTGCTTGTCATTGTAACCTTTTACAGAAAGCTATACAGAAGGAATACATAAGCTGTTTTAAAACTTTGCACACACCATTGGTTTAAATTTATAACAGCCTTCACACTAATATAGTAAAAATCTAAACACACACTAGCATGCTTCATGCTAATCTTAAATCCTATAATATAATTTAGCAGTATTGATTATAGCAGTATTGCTTAGAGACTGCTAGATTCTAACACTGTGCAATTTGAAACACTCCTTTAGTTAAATTCAAGATTTTCCATCTGAGCAGTCCAAAGCAATTTCTTAACACTGGGGAACAATCTCCCTTTCAATAGAAATCCTGACACAGAGACAGAGGTGTGTGGAAGCATATACATGTAGGATTTAAATGTTTACTAGGGCAGGGAGTAAGACTGCCATGAGAAACAGAAGTCACAGTGGAAGACAAATCTTTTTCTAGACTGCAAAGCAAAATCTACAAATGTTAGGTGACAGAAAGAAACCGCAGAATCTTATTACTGTTTTCTGGGCTTCCAATAGAAATGCAGTATAATGATCTGGAGAGGGGAGGTGATCATTTTTGTTTTTAAACAGAAAAATAGAAGTATTCTGGAACCAAAACAATTAGTGCAGATCTGGCAGACAAGGTTTCTTTACAGCTAAAAAGTAGAAGAGACTACCATATTCTTGCTAAGGAAAGTAGGGGATATCAAGTCATTTGAAGTGTCACAGTGACAGGTTCATAAGATTGTTGCAAAAGTGGGTAGATCATACATACCATAACCACTTCTATTACACTAGTGCTTGAGATATAGTTTTCCTATATTATCCTGGTTTACATCATTCCTAACTATCATAATATCTTTTTCACATGCCATATTTTCATAGTCAGTAATGGAAAAGTTAGAAGTATTCAGTTAATTTTTCATCTCATGATGTAGACCTACAAAACTTCACACCTCAACAAAGTGTTAGTTTAAGGTGCCAGTAGATTATGCTGGTTTTAGTACACTGAAGGATTCTAAATGACTGATAGAAATGTTTTAAAATAAATTTGGTCTCCCTTTGAAGATTACTTAGCAGATGAATGAGAAATGCAGATTAGAAATGCAGTCTCAACAAACAGTCACAAAACATACTAATCATAACCAAAACATCTACTAATGGTTATAAAATAGCATGTGTTTTTCCCCCACTTCTGATACGGATGCAAGGAAACAAAGGCAGTGACCATTTTGCTTAGAATGGAAGAAGCCACAATTTTCCAAGCTGCAGCTAACTTTCAAGCCATTTCACTTCTTCCTGTATTTTCCCCCATCTTACTTACAAGAATTGCATTCATTCCTGATGCAATGGCATAGACCAAACCTGAGAGGCGTGCTGCATATGTATACTCTTTTAAATCATCCTTCAATAACCTGATTAACAGGTATGTCATGTTGCAATGGAGAGGGTCAGCATAAAGGTAGCGACTAACAAAAAGAAAAAAAAAGGATGCTTTGGTACTTCAAGCAGCGACATGGTAACTGATGAAGAAACATGACTGAAGAGTATATATATATGCAGCCTCATATTCTTGGGAATGAAACACTGAAAGCATTTTTTTCTGCATTTGAAAGTCATCTGATAGAATGGAGGAAAATATTCCAATCATTTTTTTTTTAATGAACTAATTTGATGAGTGATGTAAAATGAAGAGCAAAATTTTCTGAATGTGAGTGGAAATGTTGAAGACTGGGGGAAAAGATTTAATTTAAAATTCAAATTATGAAAAAGTCAAGTTAGAAATCAAGATTTTTGAAACGAACCAAACAAAAATTTAGACCCTCAGTGGGGAAAAGCCATAAAAAAAATGCTTCCATCAACTTACATACATCCCATAGATGGTATTTTGGAGATCATAGCTCAAGCCAGCTAGCTCTGCTGCATATGCATACTCGTTGAGGGAGTCTTTGAGTAGCTCAAGATACAAATAGGCCATGTTACAATGCAAGGGATCCACGTAAGCAAATGGGCTGGAAGAAAATGTTGAAAGTAAAAACTCTGATGTAATTCCTTTCCAATTCTGTTAGGTCCTCCAATGTTGGCTCTCATGAACACAAATTAAACATACCATTTTGATTATTCCCATTACAAATATATTAAGACAGTGAACAACATATGTACACACACACGCACACGCACACAAAGCTGAAGGAAAAAAGCTAAATTACGTAACTCCAGAGAAACAAAAACAAATACTATGCTGATTAAGCCTACAGTTTAGACTTTTTAACCACTCCATTCTGAATTTGGTGACGATAATGGTTAAGAATAATCATGAAATATATTTTAAAAAATAGGCCTGAAAAGTCAGGACAGACAGGGTTGTAGTTACCTAAACAAGGATATCTGTGCAGGTTAGAGTGATTACAGCCTGGACTACACATGGAAATGCAGATCTCTTTTGAGATCTATAGCACCTCCAGGCAGTTTTGGTTAATCCACCAGCTGTGGTCCTTCCTTGCATGATTTGGCCAGATTTATTCATTCATTGACCACATACTGGAAAAGTTCTGTATGAGGGGCTGTATGAGAAGCTTCAGTAGGTATAAAACATAGCAGACTGGTACAGGTAAAAAAGGATCTTGCCAGTTCTAAGATGCAGTACTGGCTGCTGATCCACTTATGGGCCTAATTCAAAGAACTGATTATTACCTGTAAAGCCCTAAATAACCTAGAGTCAGGTTACTTAAAACATTGCTTTCTGTCACAAATGCTTGACTTTCACTAACATCTTCACAGCCTTGCTCAGAGGGCCCTGTTTGAAATAAGATGGGTGGCTACTTGGGACACAGCCTTTTGGGTGGTGTGGCACATCTACCATGAACACCCTCTGGGGAGAGATTCACTTGGCATTAAATTTATTGAATTTCCAGCAGCAGATAAGAACATATTTATTTCCACCAAGTTTGGGACCTAGTTCCATTACCTTGGTTAGGATTTCATGCCATTTTACTTCACTGATTTTATTGACCTTGATAAGGATTTTACATTGGCCTGTTGTTGAATTATTTATGTTGCTTTTTTAATTCTATTGATCTGGCTCGTATTTTTGAGCTCTTAAGTGGTTTTATATTGCTCATTGCTTAAGGTCATTAAAACTGTTTACTCTGTGGTGCTGCCTTGATATTGTTGGATATTGTAATTCTGTATGCAAGAGGATCTGGGAGAGAGAATGGGTTAAGAGAATTCTCTCTCTCTCTCTCTGGTACCCTTGGCAGTTGGCCCCATCCCCTCTCATGGTTAGATGGTGAGCCTCTTTGGCTGTTGCTTGCCTTCAGTTTTTATCTTATCTCCTCTCTCTCTCTTACCTGGTCTTGGAGCTGTAGCAAGTTAATCTGCTCACAATAAGTTAAACGTACCTACATGAATATGTCATGTAAGATGTGCTTCTATTTTTGTCAGTAAAATTTCTTTCTCTTGTTACTATTGGGATCATATCATCTTTGTAACTGGTTTGAACAGCATTTTCCCTTTAACTAAGAAACGTGGAGAATCCGGGAAGAAAAGGCTTCTGTGCTTCCAAGTCAAATGGTATTATTTTACATTTAACCCAATAGATATATGATGGTGTTTTAAAACATAAATACATACTTAAGAAAACTTTGGAACAGAAATCTGCCCCCAGTCGCATTTCTGGCAGAATACATACAGAAGTGGCTTAACAACTTTATTTACTAATGTGCAGGTAGGTGACAGTGTCCTAAAAATGCAATGTCCCCCAATGACAGGCATCTACCACTTACAATTTTCCTTTTGCAAACAGCAAGACACCTGGGACATGAAACAGCTCCTCAATAAAACTACTAATTTTGACTTTGGCTGGGCATTGGCTGGGCATTGAAGCACTTCAATGAAGGTTATTGTGGTCAAACTTGCCCCATATGTTTTTGCAAAACAAAACTGATCCAGACGTATTATGGTTGAAAATTAGTGCAAACTATCCAGAGGACAACAGAAGACAGGACGGCCTGGCTTGATATGTCCCACGGGGTCGCGAAGAGTCAGACTCTACTGTGCGACTGAGCAAGAAAGGTCCTTGGGATAGGACCCCCTCCATATGAAAAATGCTAGTGATTTATATAAGAGATGTTTGAAACAGACCCTGAGTATTTGAAACCAACTCTGGGTGTTGTGAAATACACTGACTAGGGATGTGCATTTGGCTTTCCCAAACCGAAAAAATACCAAAAAAATACCTTATTGATATTTACCGGTATTTTTAAAGCTGAATACAAATTCAGGAAACTTTTCGGCCTCCAAATACAGTTTCCCAAATTTGTTAGGCTTTTTCAGCTTTTGGGTAGCCAAAAACCAGCTTCCACTGAGCTGCAGCTTCCCTAGTCAATTTCACTTCCCGCCAGTCAGCTGTGGGAGTGAAACTGACCAGGGAAAGCCTCCTCTCTATCTTCCCTCCTCCAGCTGCCCCAGGGCTGCTGGAGAAGTACAGGAAGAGAGCCCAGCCATGCTTAAATACCTTTCTTTCCCTCTCCCACTTCGGGGAGGGAAAGAAAGGCATCTAAACATGCCTGACTTCCCTGACAGCACTCCTCCAGGGGCCCTGCGGCTGTGGGGCAACTCAAGACGGAAAGGCAGGGAACCCAGGCATGCTTCAATGCCTGTCCTGTGCTTTCCCACCCCCCACCCCGTGCTGGGGAGCTGGGAAAGCCAGGGCATGCGTGGAAGCATGCCTCTTTCCCCCTCTGAGGTTCTCCGCAGCAGCGGGGAAGGAAAAAAGAAGGTGGCATGTTTAAATACCTTTCTCTCCCTCCCTGATCTCAGGGATGGAAAGAAAGGCATCTAAACATGCCTGACTTACCTGCCTATGCTTCTCCAGGGGCCCCGTGGCTGCGGGGCCACTGGAGACAGGTAGGCAATGAGCCCAGGCATACTTCCATTTTACTATCCCAAGACACTCTGGAATTTGACTAGAGGTAGTGAATGTACCTCTCATATGATCTTTGTAATTTTTTCACACTTACTGGCTATTGTACTGCTGAGCTGTTAGTCATCTTGTTAATTTTCAGACTGAAAAGCTGGATATAAATATTTTAAATAAATAAATCTCACTAAATATGAAATGCATATTAAAATATAAAAATGAGTTACAATCACTATGTTCTAGGATTAATGTAAGCCACTAAGAGCTAGTCCAAATGAGACAATCTCTCATTTAATCTCTCTCTCAGCAAGATGAAACTTCATTAAATACAGCTGCTAGTTTCACAGAGTCAGAAAACCATGCAGCTGTTGGTTTTATTTTGTTACCAAGCTATTATTTATTTTCTAAACTCAAGAGCCCAAAAATATCGAGCCAAGTTTCATACTTCACATGATGTTAGCTATTGCACATTATAGAATATCCCAAGGAAGTACAGATTTGTAAAAAGCTACTGAACTCAAAGACTCAAGTCATGTTTCAACTACAAAGCTTAATATCAGCACAATCAAGAATGGCAAACCAGGTTAAGATTAGAAACAACATGTGTACAGCACTAGTACTAGTCCGATATCTATTAAAGGAATATGCAATTATTCCTAATATTGTTGATGGAACTACAAAGCATTGTCCCTGCAAAGGCTCTTCCCTTACCTTGCAGCTCTCTGCTGCTGCTGCTTTACAGTGGCTCACTCACTGGTCGTGTGTATGTGTTCCAAGAGAAAAGAGCCCACAGACTTGACAGGCCACTGATTCTAAATTGCCCAAATACGTCTCTTACTGAAATCAAGCCTCTTCTTCACTATAAGGCTCCATACATGGATGACAAGATAAGGAGATACCAGCAAGAGGTACTGAAGAAACGTGAATGCACTCCCAGCAACACCTGCTTCCAGACAACCATGGCAGAATGTGCATGGAGCTCCCCCAGCTGAAGTTATTGCCCTGACTTGGATGGCCCAGGCTAGCCTGACCTCATCAGATCTTGGAAGCTAAGCAGGGTTGGGCCTTGGCTAGTATTTGCATGGGTGACCTCCAAGGAATACCAGGGTTGTGACACAGAGGCAGGCATGGCAAAACACCTCTGAAATGTCTCTTGCCTCAAAAACAAGTCTAGCTCACCACCTAGTGGTGCATAATGCTAACAAGCTAGAACTTCTGGCTGCCAGAAGGATCTCCTGGCTATACTACACACAATGCCATACGATAATTTATTTATTTATTATTAGTATTACCCAAGTTATCTATTTTGCACTAAAGTTAATCTTTAAAGCACACTTAATATGTGTTTTGGTTAAAGGACAGTCAGCAGCAATTTCCACCTTCTTTGCTACAGTGGCACTAGCATTAATTCTGCTTTAGCAGCCTGATAATCATACAAATATAATAAAGGATGAAGAGAAGGTTATTCGGGGGGGGAAGGCTTGCAATACAGGAAGAAAAAACACCTTGTCTTTCCCTTTTAAAAAATAAAAACAAGAATGATGTTTGTTTTTATGTTGGAACCATAGAGGGCACTGTCCAAAGAAAAATACTTTTTAAAAAAATGGGCCTAAAGTGGCAGATGGGGAACAGGTAACTAGGTACTTAAAAACAAAACACAGACTTACAGGAATGTTCAAGCTGATTGATCAATGCTTCCTAAACTTCCAATAGCTGAGGCATAATTATTTTCTGAGTTAAAACTTAGAGGCATATACACCCCCCCCAAAAAATGTTTGCTTTTATAGTAACTATATGCATCTTCATGCATTTCTGCATGAGTCACTGTTTTAAAATGGGCCTCCTGACTCACGTACAGCTGCAGCCTCCTTGCAGAGGGGCATAATTCATCTGGAAATCTGCATCAGGAGTGACAGATCATCTAGCTGCACCCAATGCAGACACACAACATAAAGCATCCACCGCTTGCAGGGGTGTATTGCAGGGCCAGAGCAGCGGGTAGCTTGCACTCTGTGTGTGTGTGTTCTTTTGAGTTCATGAAAATACATAATTTTAAG